CACTCTCAGTGTCTGTGCACTGGTGGCTCCAAATTTCTACATCACACTTGTATGAGTTGCAAATGATTGTTATGGTGTCACAAATCATGCTCAGAGCCCCTGTACTGCATTCAAAATCAGAGTATCAGAGGCAGAATGTACTTTTGTACTTATTATTCAGACAAATGTTCCCTGTGGCTGATGTATTATTATTTATCAGATGATTAGATTGTTAATACTGATGCAGCGATGCATAAGGCCGGATATGTACTTGCTTTTAACTATGCGTTTGCGATGGCGTCCTCGTGTATCCTGTTTGGACCGTCGGTTTGAGCATAGAGCAAAGAAGAAAAAAAAACTCTGATACAGAAATTGTATTGTATTTTCAAAACTTTTCTCTACTCTTTGTTTTTTGTTTTGACGCAATTCATAATTTGACTACATGTCGAACAGTTCTTTAAATGGAGCCGTGTGAGAAGTTTAAAGAAAAAGTCACAACGCTTGGGAATTTCTATCAAATTTTATTTTATAAGCTTATCTTTTTCATGTAAAATCTCTGAAAAATATATAAATATATATGGAGCATGGAGTAGCTTTAAATAAAGAAAGTAAAGTACACAAACCTTAGAATTGTACTCAAGTACATTACTTTAATAAATGTACTTACATACTTTCCACCACTGCAAAGGTCCCCGGCATGCTGCGATCAGTGTGTATGTTACTCACCCTAAACACTAGACCACCAGGAACCCCCGAGGTCGGTGATACATTTGACTTTTCATTATCCTGGTTGTACTCAGACTGCTTCAGACAAGCTCTGCTATGCAGCTAATATGGTGTGCAGATACATCGATCTGCACGTTTTGTGACATTTGCATTCTCACACAGCTTCCTCATAGCAGTGTGTTATACCCGGGCAGCGTGTGGGACACCCGGGGGGGAGCACATTGCAGGATCACACAGTAGATGGCACTCTCACTCTGTCGGAGCACAGCATCTTCTCTCGGGCCCGCGTGGCTCTGAGTGAAGCGTTGATTCAGTGCAGCAGCTCACCGCGGTAAAAACATGCAGATATTAAATGCACGGCCACACATTTGGCTTAATAACTCGCTGCACAGCTGCCCGCTGACTGTAAATGGGGTCTGATTTCCAGCCTGACCTGACAATTGACCCTCAATTACAGAGGCAGCCCTGTTAATATCCTCAGACTGAAACCGGCTCCACTAATTTGTATGAAAGGATGTAAGACTTTGTTATGCAAAGTGATGCAGCTTGTAAATTGATGACGACAGTATGTTCCCGCCTGTTCTACAATGAGAAGAAGAAGATTGACGTGTTGGAAATACATAGTGTTCTCTTTGTAAAGTCCTACAGGTAAACTTATGAATTCATTCATGGCCGTCTATAACTAAAACATTTTATTACCCTTACAATAGCTTCTATTTTCAGAGACATATTGCATCCAAATGTGGGATAGTCCAGAGAAGTCAATAGCTGTCCTGGTGGGAATCTCTTAAATGTTCAACCAAATACAATACAGGATTATTGGTTTTTGAACATGTAATAAAAAGCCATTGTTTTATTGGATTTGCCTGGTAATGGTTTTGTTATATAGACAGTGTTTTCTATTAGCTGCTGGATCAGAGATCACTCGGAGGGCAAGGGCACTGAGTTAAATCATAAAATCAGGGCAATCTCTTTCCGTGAGAAAATTCCATTAACTCTGGCTCACCTCCGAGCCTATTTTATTAGCCTTGTGAAAGATTGAAGCCACATGGTGTCACAACCATAACTCTAGTCTTATGTTATCTTTGATTTCCACCTGCTAAAGCCATTGTCCTGAAACTAACTAAAACACTCTTTCCCGCCTCTACTTTGTTCTTTTTCTTTCTCTTATATGATTTCTTATGATTAATCACTCTTCTTACATCACCCCCTTTCCCCTTCCCTCGCTCTCGACCACTTCACATCCAACCACACGCTTCAAATCCCATCTGGCCCCCTCAGTCAGTGAAAACTCTGAAGTGGAGAGGCTGGAGGACCTTCACAAACGAAGAAATCTGCTCGCGGCCTTCTGCAAACTGATAGTGCATGGAGTGCTGGAGATGAGCATGGCGGCTGAGGTCTTCATGTACTACATGAAGGTAAACGTTTTGTCCCTAAAGGAGTAGTCAGACATTTTTGGGAAGAGATGTATGGTGAATATGTGGGAGGCACAGTGTTGAGTGTGGACTGGTAGCTGGAGAGGTACCAGTCCCACCCTCCAGGGTGCTCTTGAGCAAGGCACCTAACCCCCAACTGCTCCTGGAACTCCACCATCTCTCCACATTTGCATGTCTATAAGCCCTGTGGGTGTGATTGTATGTGGAAACGGGGAAACAGCTAGCCTGGCTCTGTCCAAACATCCTCTATCGGTGTGTTGAGCCGTGCATCATTTGTGTGAGTTTGACTGCTGGAACCAAACAGCCAAAAAACTTAACAGATGTTAGCAATGGACACACTGTGCTTTGAACTATTTGAACTGTTCCTTTAATGCTATCATGTACTACATAATAGCTCCGGCTGGAGCGTCCCATATTACATTTTTCCCTTCTTGTCCTCAGTACTATAACGACTTTGGAGACATCATCAAGGAGACGATGTACAGGACCAGACAGATAGATAAGATAGAGAGTGCTCGCACGCTGGTCCTCTGTTTGCAGCAGGTATATTTCCTCCATATGCACCCTAACAAATAAGCTAAACACACACACAGCTACATGCAAGGTGCTGATGTGTTTTCCTCCACTATCCCCAGCTGTTTGTCCGTTTAAAGCGAGAGCAGGAGAGCGGCGGTAGGGCTCACCCAGGAGTCCAGACCTTCACCAGCATCAAAGAGCTCGCAAGGCGGTTCGCCCTCACCTTCGGGGACCTCATCAAGTTTCGAGAATGCGTCGTCATGATCCACAGGTCAACGCGGGCTCTTGTTTCTCATTCCTCTGATTTGTTGTTTTCAGGTTATTTTGTGCCTGAAGTTTGTGTGTGTGTTGCTTGTGTGTTAATATGTGCAGGAACGGCATAGAGTTTGTGTTCCAGGAGTTCAGTCAGACCCCAGAAACACCTACGCCACTGTACCTCTCCTACCTCACCATCCTCAGTGAGTTCTCCAGCAAACTGCTCAAACCAGACAAGAAAACAGTGTAAGTGCTGCACACTGCATGCTGGGATTACAAACTGGTTTTTAATATCATAAACCTGGCTTTCTGAAAGTCTGTACATGTCTGTGCAGGTTCTCCTACCTTCAGAAACATACTGCAGAGCACATTATTGACCTGAGGGAGGAGTGCTGGCAGCCACTTATCTACTATCGCGCTTCCCTATTAACTGTAGCTGAAGGGGAGGACGCCGTGTCCTATGTTAGCTCTGACAGGAAGCTGTACCTGCCCAATCGCTCTCCCTTCCCCAAACAAAAACTAGAAGGTACTACACTAACACAGTATTTTATGTCCTTATTGTCACCAAGTACCAGCTGCATCACGTGTGAATCTGTTTTTTGTTTTTTTAGGAAGCAAGTCCCCCTGCCCGTTCAGCCCTGCAGACTCCAAAGTTAGCAAAGTTCACAGGTCAGGCTTCAGTCCAAGGTGAGGCTCTCACATTCAGATTCTTATTCATTTCATATTTATTCTTTTTCACTCCGCTCATATTAATGACTGGAACCTCGTCTAACTTCTCAGCCATCAGGAAAAGAAAACTGATACGGGTCCTTTTTCTGTCCCTGTGGAACCCCTTGCAAAAAGATTGAATATAGACGCATCTGTGCTCAGCACAGCCAATGAGGAGGATGATGATGACACCGTGGAAGTTGAACTGTAACAGTTTGGAGGTTGGGAATGATTGGTGCTTCTGTCTGGACGTTGAGACCTCACTGGACAACACAAACATTTTATTTTTTGTCTTCGCTGTTAGCAGACGTCTCTGCTTTTGTTTTGCTAATACAGGTTTGTTGAAAAAATACAGTATGTTTGTATGAGGATATAGGATAGGTCTGTGATATTCTATTTTTATTGTCAACAAATCCCATGAAAAGACCATAAACAACAAGAATTGTTATCCTATTACTTGTGCAGCCCAAGCCTGATACATCTTATTCCTCTGAGCCAGACCTTAGTATTAAAAACACGAGTGAGCCCCACAGTTGCACTGGGTGACATTTTCCTACATTATAAAGAACATGGGTGCTGTAGTTTACCTGAATCAATCCCACATTCACTGTCCTGCTGCTAGATTGACTAACTAGAGCACCAAATATGTATTAATTCGCAGCTGAAAATAGTCCCCAACAAATGCACTTTTATTGCTGTTTGAGATTAAAAAGTCAATTTAAAAAAAAAAACAATCTATTGTGATCACTTTTTAAAGATTTAATGTTTACTGTGGAAACCAATGTGTATGGGTCCATAAAGAACTAGTAAGTATAAAAAGTATTTTTATGGGATTTGTTAACAGTGAGAAAGATATAGAATAACACTACCCTAATTCTTCAAATAATGTCAAGTTTCTTTTATTCAGACGGCTTTCATTTGAGGACCAGAGTATCAGTATGTGTTTTTACAATGTCTGTACTGTACTTGAATGTTACAAGTGACACTAAATGATCCATCTTTTAATTTTACTTTTGGATCACACTCAGGTCCAAGAATTGTCTAATTATCTCAGAGTACATTAAGAATTTTGCTTTATTGTCCTGCCTGCCACTTTATTATTGCTCCTTATAGGATAATAGCTGGGTTAGTTTGCCAAAAACGACTTATGTATTACTGTACATTAATTTAAATAAAAAATAATCCAAACAAGAACATTTCTCCAAGCTGTAATATTTTTGTTGTTCATTCCTTCCTATAAAGACCTTAACACCTTGTTTGACTTAATACCCATAAAGACATTTTACATGAGGGATAACAAGTATTTGTATATATTTGTGTGCAGCGGTAAAACTCAAAACTAATTTTTACTAGATGGCTCAAATAAAAATGCACAGTCCGTTTTCTTTACTCTTCCATTAAACAAGGCTTTATTATTAATTTAAAGAAAAGCAAAACATTTAAAAATTGGTTCCTTTTGTTCTGTCAAAGTACATTCAAATTAGGTACTTTATAACATAGAAAAAAGAATTTCTCTAAAACACTTGCCCAAATCATTTACAACACAGCAAGCACCAAATAAATATTTACAGTTATTTATAAATTCATCTCTAATAATTTATAACCCCATCTCACACATACATTAAATCTAAGTCACAATGAATACCGACCTGTACAATATACACTGTGTGGCAGTCTGAACTGTGTGTGTGTGTGTATGTGTGTGTGTGTACAGCAGGCTCAACGGTGGCTTGTTTGGCATTTAAAGTAACTTGTCATTTAAACAACCATTAATGAATTTACAATTTTATAGAAAATCCTCAGTTGTGATCACTGGAATGTATTAGCCAATGACTTCAGATGATAATTAGTTCAAAACCTGAATAAAATCAACATGGTTTCTGTCCGACAATCCAGGGAGCTCCAGTGTGAAGAATGTGATTACACAGTACTGATGAACAGATGAAATAACACTCGCCCCAAACATTATTTGTACAAAGCATTACATGCAAAACTTTTACCTTTAACAAGTGGGGATGGCGCAAACGTGGTGCTTGTGACATCATAAAGTCAGCTTTGGTGACTTCTTTAAGTGTGGCAGGTGAAAACATTAAAACATACAGTATTGTGAAAAACCACCAACCATCAGACCACTTCACATTTCCTGTTAGTCCGAGGGTGACACTGTGTACATTTCTATAGCACATCTGACAACACCAGTGTTCTGGTTTTGCATTCACTCCCTGTTTATTTATTGTTTATTTGTCCTGTTACGCATGATGTGAACCGGGCCTGAACTTGTGAGTCTCTGACTTGATGCGACTCATCGACTAACGCTGCTGGTCGAGCTCTGTGTCTGGGAGCGCACAGCGCTCAGCAGGCTTGTGATGCAGGATCGAGGGTCATTCAAAGTCATCTTCATATTCATATTCATCCAGGTCCAGGTTGCAGTGTGGACTAGGGATCTCAAAGAAGTGTCTCTTTGTCAGACCCAGCTCACTGGAGATGTGCTGCCCTAAAGGGCTCAAAGGATTTTCATACCTAAAACAGACACATGGAGAAAATCACTCAGAAACACAGCTTTACTTTTCAAAAACAAAAAAAAAACATTTTGGAAACTGATTTGCTTTCTCCAAGAGTTACAGAAGATAAATACAAAAACTCATGTATGTGTGTATAGAACTACCACCAGAAGCCAGTTAGGTTAGCTTAGCGCAAAGACTGGAAACAGGAGTAAACAGCTAGCCTGGCTTTGTCCAAAGGTAACACGCACCTAGCTCCTCTGAAGCTCACTTATTATATATCTTGATTGCTTAATCTGTTTCCCCGTTCCCAGTTTTGATGCTAAGCGGCTGCTGGCAGATATGAGATTGGTAGAGATATTTTCATATAACTCTGATCAAGAAAGCAAACTGTTCCTCAAAACAGACAGAAGATTTTCAACAAACCAGTGCAACTGGAAAGGAACGAAGGAGAAACACATGAAGGCATGACAGAGGTGGTGCAGGAGTAGAGTTTCTTTTTAGAAGAGGAAGGATAAAAACAGAGAGTGTCCGGTTCAAAAACAGACTCCCAGCTCTAACACATGGCTCCATAAACTGCGACTGTGTTGTCTGACAAAACAACTATCTGCTGTCAAACTGGTGGAGTGAGGGTAGAAGCTAGGAGTGGGTTTAGGACTAGACATCCAGAGAGGAGGAGGAGAACTGCTGGTTCCCTGAGTGTCTTACCTGCTCTGGTTTAGCAGCCTGTCTTTAGCAGTCGGTGGTGTTCCTAAAACCGCCACACAACATACCTGTCAACAGCCTCATCTATCACTGACTTGCTCTCAGAGGGGCTCTGCTGCTGGACATTATGGCCAGCCTTAGCAAGGAGGCTTCAAGCTGTCAATCTGCTGTGTACATCATCCAGTTAGACAGAAAATTGATTGAAATCAACTTGCCCTCAGCTGATCTTACAACCACTTCAAAAACAGTGCAAGCATTGTTATCTGAGTGTGTGAACTTTGTACTAAACCATCACTGTCTGACTGCACAAAAAGGCCTTCTTAAAAATGTTATCAATTACCCCATTGTGCTTTTCCTACCATCACATGTCCAAATGTCTGCTGCAAAAATTGTTTTCATACCTCCACATACAATATTGATAATAAACCCCTTCAATCATGATAAATATTTGTCATTACAAGAGCTAACACAAAAATCAAGGTTCGTATTTATCAAACTATTTATCAAACTTCACAATTACACTGAACAATGAAATATAGAGCCAACTTAGGAGACAAAAGGTTCTTCACTGTAACTGAATAATAAGATACATTAATCAAACAATAAACTCCTTACTTACTGCAAAGAGTAGGAATAACCTTTAAAAGCAACTTTAGGTGATCACATCTATGCTTTGAGCAGGAATTGCCAATTAAAGTCAAGGATTTACCCTACAACTGACATATTGTTCATTCTTTTAAAAAAATACTTACATTTTACTCAATGATGAGTTTATTGTGGAAAAAATATGTCCTTGTATGCTTCATGATTCAAAAAAATTCATTTATTTGTGTAATATCCTTTTAAAATTAAGAAGTGAAATTAACAAATCTAATGTACTTATACTATACGAACAGGGATGAAATTATAGGAAACTGTCTCAAATTTAGAGATGTACCGATAACCTTTTTTTTTTTTAGCCACTGATCCGATCTGAGTAATTTAATACTGAGTCCCGATCTGACACTTTTTTTTCATCATTTATTATACACAATAAAGTATAAAATAACAGACCTTTTCTGTAATCGTTTTGGTATTGTCTGGAGGAATAGTTATTTAAAAGGCACACCTGATGGCAATTGAGCTAGGAGCCAATCTGATGAAGCAACATGTGAAATACGTAGTTTGCTCAGTTTTGTTTTGAATGTAATAAAACAGTGTCAATCCCAGTAACTTGGTGTGTGCTGGAATATATTTTTGTTCTCTGCCGTTTGCTCTGCACCAGCTGGCACCGAGAAGAGAAGCGCTGCAGTGCACGGGGTATTTTCAAGTTTTTGTAGGGTTTTTATTTGCAGGTGTATCTAACAGACCCACGAGTAAAGTCAGACTTACACATCGTTGCACTGATCGCTGGCAGCCTCCTCAGCTACCAGGATGTCGTACTCCTCTGCAGCATATTTCTCCCAGTCTGAGACCTCCTGGCCGTCCGTCTCCACCTCCTTAAAAACACGACACGTTACGTGATACACTCGACCTCTGACGGGAAAACCAGTCTCGATGCTATCTCACATCTGGTGACATCCTATCAGTTTAACCTTACCCTTATCACAGAGAATGGGTCCCTCTGCTCGTGGTCCAGGTACTTCTCAATGTTGAAGAAAGTGTCGAAGAAGATGTGGGACAACTTGCACCTTTTAAGGTCCCGCAGAGTGATCTTACCTGGATGGGATAAAACAGGCACTTTAGACAGGTTCAAACGTACCCAGTGACAAATGATCTAACGCATGGGTATTACTAAACTATTTAGGACGTCTCACTTCAAAGTTTTTAGCTTGACTTTGCCATCAAATCTAGCTTTCAAAATTGGCCTGAGACTTATCTGACTCTAGTGTAAATGTCGAGTTTTTGGCACTAACACTCACCCTAGCTCATCTTCTAGAGTGTCAAGGGTTAAAGATGTGATCTTTAGCCGACTGATCACACAATGGCTGGGCCACAGTATTTCAATCTAACGCTATAACTAATTTTTGCTTTTATTATTTATTAATCTGTAAATCATTTTCTCCTATTAACTGAATCATGTAGTTTCTATAATGACCAGTTGTCAGAGCCCAGTCAAAACCTCAAATTGTTTTGGTTGAAAAGCCAAAGATATTGATATTCAATTTATAAAAATGTGAGTTGCCAGCAAATATTTTGATTTTTATTGAATGGACATAAAATTATTAATCGCCTATTAAAACAGTTATAATTTTCATACGTTTCAAACCTTTGTCAAATATGTATAAAATGCAAGGCTGATTTGAAACATTTTACTGATTCTGCCAGCCTAACCTTCATGCCTTAGAAATCTCTGATACCTGAAATGGAGGGATGAGATTTTTATATTTCTGTAGCAGGCAAAAATCATAGTTTCTGCTTCAGAAAAGAGACTTTTGGGTGATGAGAGAAACGTTTTGTATTCTTCAGCAGTGAAATTTTAGACAATCTCTGGGTTGTTTAGACTCATCTGATCTGCACATTAAGCTCCTTGTTATGAAATATAACATCTCTATACAGATAGAGTACAAGTTCACGTGCCTGCACCACAGAGCATAAATCACCTAAAGAATGTCACATTTAATGTGAAATTGTAACTTTTAGATCTGAAGGTCAACTGTGGGGGGAAGCACTAGGACTCAAATACTAAGTCAAGAAGTTGCTACATCTCATATTACATGTTATATTACACAGCTACACTAGTACAGAATACCATCAGGTCGACCAAGGGTCACATTCTTGCTGTGGCCATCAATACTAAACATGCACACCCTCACCATGGAATAGTGTGTTCTAAATAGTGTAGTGATAAATCTAAGGGCTGGAGGGAATTTGTTAACCATGTGGATGACACCAGCAGCTGGCAGGGGGCAGTCCAGATCAGTCAGTCAGTCTCTCATCTGTAATGTTCCCTCAGGTAACCATCAAAACAATCTGAAAATGTGTATGCGTGTCTGTGACGGTCACTGTTAAGAAATTGGACCCTGTCAGACTCTCTGGTGTGTGAACTTCTGAGAGGGTGCATAAATGTAAAACTGGTCTGACCTTCAACCTCGGGCTTGACAAGGTCAAGCATTTGGCAGAGGCAGTCCTCAAAGGGAAGAGGCTCAATAGCCATGGTCTCCAGCTTCTGACACTGCTCCTCGTAGAAGTACTCAAGCTCGTACATGCTGAGCACCCCATCCCCATCCAGGTCCATACAGCGGAACCAGTACTCTATACTGGACGCAGACAGAGCAGCGAGCAGAGGCGCATGTGAGAAAAGACATAAAAGGAAACAGAAGATGCACTCGTGCGGCTGTGGGTCTACATACCTGGTGTCGGTCTTCTTGTCCTCCTCAGACATGAGGAACCAGACAAAATCAGCATAACTTAGCCTCCCTTCCTTATACACCCGCCTGTCTCTGATGGAGTAAACCACACAATCACTGTTAAAAACTCAAACAGAAAATGCATCTTTTCTGAAAAAATAAAAATAAAAAAACTGTTCAGCACTTATGATATGCATTGTTTAAACTCTATTATATTTACCTTGTAACTGTTCCTGAGAAAATTCTCTCAATCATCTTATGGGAGATGGCTGGGGGAAAAAAAACAGCAAAGAGATCACTTACAATCCAGACTGGGGAAAAAAAGGTCCTCTCTTATACAACAGCTCTTTCAGTTAATGTACAACTTTTTCACAACACATGTAATCCATTCTCACAGACTGTAAATCCAGACTGGCTAGTGTAGCTCTTTTTAATCTTGACAATGCTATAAATCCTCTGTTCATCATTTTGACCATATAGTGGTAGAAATTGTTCCAGACATGGCGTCATTTGAGCAGAGTATATTTGCTGCTCTCTTATTGATCTTGTGTCTCATTTCCCCTGCCTCCCTCACAGACCATCAACCAAGAACATGTGGTGTTGAGTGTGTGTGGAGGAAGCGTCAAAGACAAGTCTTTTTCCCTGAGTATGTGTTTGTGTGTGAGCAGTAAACCCGGACAAAACACTTACAAATGCTTTTTACTGTTACATGTAGTTTCAGCCTACTGACAGTGCCAACAAATGCCAGGATGGTTAAGGGAAGTTAATTTAGTAGACATTAATGTGTTCTGACATGGTCTCAGTACTTGACTTTTTTTATTTATATTATTTTTGTATGTGATTATAAGATATATTGTTGATCTGAATACAACAAAATCTGAAACATATTTCAAATTCATTTCAAAGTTTGGTTCTAGTCTGAGGTGCTTTCTTGAAGAAGTGTGCTTGTGAACCTTGGTCATTATGCTGTCCCAGGTCCTTCTGGTCTATGTAGAGGTCATGGTCAGTGTCCAGCTCCCAGAACTTGCAGTAGATAACGTAGAAATGTTCATAGGAGAAGAACTCTGTCAGCTGGTTCACGTCCTCTTCCTGCTCCAGCAATGCTAAATTCTGGGACAGAGGGGAAAAAAAAAAAAAGTTAAATGTCTTAATGTCAAAATTTCCACGTCATTTTTATTAGTATTAAGTAATAATTATCAATATACTGATATTAGCCAAACTCTGTGCTGTACACCCATAACAGTTAACAGACCATCTGGTCTAACCTACTATACTTGGTATAGTGCAATGAGGAGTTGGACAGACATTATGGGTGCACTTGCTAGTTTTAACTCCAAATAAAATGGTTTAGATCATAGATCATCGTTGCCATATTCCGAGATTTTAACGTTATCAGAAGGCATAGAAATGATGGCCCGAACTACAAAAATAAGACCTAAGTAGATATAAATGTTTCCTTTAATAAACCTTACAATATTAACACAGGTTTTCAAAAACCAGAGTCACATACCTGAAGAAAGTTACTTTTCCTGAGCTCAGAATGTGTTATTTTTCCAGTCCATGACCGGTTCACATTGTAGAATATCCTCTGAATCACCTGAAAAACAGTTGACCATATGATCACATATAAATAAATAATGCAGGAGAAACACTTAATCAATGCAGTGCCCTTTTCACTACTTGCTACTTTGGGGTATTATTGTGCGTGTACCGTGGTGATGTATCGTGAGTGAAAGTCCGGTGCCTCCTTTAGAAAGGCCAGGCCTGCGTGTGAGTTCACCACATCCTGAAAACATAAAATAAAGTCAGTACACTTTGTCTCTACTGCATGCCTCATTCCCATAACACAAAACTAACAAACAGAAATGCAAAAGCACATCTCCGTGACATATGTGCCTACTACAATAACAAATACACATGTTCAGTTACATCCTGCAGTTACTTTCAGAGACGAGTTTAATGGCAAACCACATGTGTCTTTCTTTTTTGGTAGACAGAATACATGACGTTCAGAGTAGATATATAAATGCGTACTTATTCAAACAGCAGAAGTTGTCAGTGTCTATCTACATCACTGTGTCCTGCCATATGCTTTATAAATTGTGCTATGTAAGGAAAAGGCTCCAGGCCTTGTTGGGAGAGGCCATCAAATTTAAATGTTTCTTTTGAAGTCAAAAAACACTGGGTCGACCAGTTTTTTGGATGAGCTCAAGCCTGTCTGATTTGACAGCAAAGTGGTGAGAAGGCCAAAGGAAAGACGCTTGCTAGTGACTGCTCATAACCTTCTCTCCTTCCTCATGTCATAAAGTCACAGGGGGTGTGCTGCATTTCAAATGAACTGTAGCTATATTCTTGCCATGAAACTTCCCCATCTCTTTTCTTTATTCTTCTCCTTCCTCTCTGCTGGGGGAAAGAATTGTTGACATAAATGCGGAGGCGGCAATGAAATTAAAAGGCCTTATTTCAGGGCAGCCGTCGTGCCTCTTTGACTCTTACTGTGAGAAATTAAATCATAGAGAAACACATAAATCACTGGGCACAGGAAACAGGCGGGGACAGTCAAATCTACTCCACTGCAATCCGCCTTTCATTCATCAAAACAGTCAAAGGCGATTCGCTGAGCGGAACCATACAAATTAAACAGCGTGTGCCACAAGGCATCTCTGCTGGTATGCTAACGGCTGTTCAGTACAGCCCAGTCGCTGCTGCCAGCATGAAAATGAATCAGGTGTAGGGCGGGGCTAGCATGGAACACCAACAGCTTGTCAGGCGAAATGAGAACACAAAAAGCCAGCACAGCAGGTCCACATGGTAAAACTGACCAAACGGTCAATTAGACTAATATTATGAATCATTTGATGAATCTGGATTTATGTTTTCTGGGATTATTCTAGTGCTATAATTTGTGCACTACATGAGACCCATTTCCATCTCCATTTATTTCTGCTGAGTCCTGCACCAAAGGAACATCCCTCTTTAATATACTCCCCACCACGATATTACTGGCTAACAGTAACATCCCTGAATAAGTCCTCCGCCACATGAAAAAGCACTGCCTCAGCAGGGCAGTCCAAAAATTAAGTCCAGTTCGCACCACCCCAGCCAATGCAATTTTGCCATTCCTCAATGCCAAGTCCAGCCCTCTCCCTGGGTGTGCTGCAGCCACTACCTGCAGGAATGGAATAAAGTCGTCTTGTTCCAGGTAATTACAGCCAGGCTTGGCCAAGAGGTGCACAAATTTAGAAGCGTCATCGTGACAGGTCTGCAGAGTTCTGGAGAAGAAAAGAGAGAACAGATGGTTGCAGGGTTACTCCGTCTTTCACTTATCATGAGCACAAGTTTGAAATCAAAAAGTGCATGTGCAGGTATAATACATTCTGAAATTAGGATTCTGAATCGCTGCCTGGCGATTATTAGTGTTGAGTTTTATGGTAGCAACGGGGAAATAATGCAAGTGTCTGTCGTGGCCTCTCATCTAAGAATGGCTCAGTCATGAGCTCAAGTCAGAGGTCAGGTCTGTCCGGTTCTCTGGAGGATCACACATTAATACAAGAGCATGCCTATTGCATACAACAGCATTCAGCACACAGCTTAGTGCGCAGCCGGCATTACAATAGCACTATGGTCTTCCTTTCAATTTTAGGCAGAAAGACAGTGAATGGATGTTTTCGTTCAAATACTGTATATGGCCAGCAACTATTCCCTTGTGGGCATTTGTGAGGCTTTTGTGATCAATGGTGTGTTTAGAAATGAAAAGGAAAATGTCATGATAGCAGAGAGCTGCATGCAGCGTCTGTAATCTCAGCAAGTGGTCATCATTGTTCTAAGGAGATTGTATGAGCCATTTGGCTGTGAGTATACCAGTGGTCCAGTGAGAATAAGAGGAGCCATTGTCTTACTTTCTCCACATAGCCACGAACTTGTGAACGGACACGAAGCCGGTCCTATCGCCTCCAGCCGAGCAGAACAATGGCATTTTCCAGTAAAAAGGGCACTCACAGGCCTTGGGAGACAAGGAAGCAGGAGAGATGGGTAAGTGTGTGGTGTGCATATAGAGAAGAGAGATAGACAAAAACTAAATAAGCTCTTAAAAACTTCCTAGATACACATGATCTTTAATGCAAAAAAAAGATCAGGACAATGACACATGACACTATTGGGTTGACAAGCAGCGTTGCATCACTTAAAGACTTCCCTGAGGAAACCTAGCTGTCATTTCTCTCTTCACTCAGGTTCCCCTCAGGCCATTGCTCACATTCCTCCGGGAAACGGAGATAATATTTTCCAGAGGTTTAAAATCAGCAAACATTCGTAAAGTCAGGAGTGAAATGGCACTAATGAAAATAATTTGCTGGGTGGCAGCTGAACCTCCATGCTACAAATCACACACTCACCTTGGCAACCTGCCCCATGTCCTCAATGGTGGCCCTTTCATTTGGGAATTGGGAAAATATTTTCTCAATTTTGGAAATGAGGCTGTCAATGTTGAGGTTGGCTTGGGGCCGGCCCTGTGGGAAGTGAAACTTTGGAATGCTTTCACTCAACGCTGTGGTGACGGGCTCCTCCGTCCTCACCTGGGCCTGAGACAAACACAGAAATAAACTGTTAGCCACTGATGCTAGCAAATGCTAACACCTCACAGCACAAGCATTCCAGCATAACACAAACTTTACATTGCCGGCACTACAACCACACCTCTCAGCAGCCCCAAGGACCATCAGGGAACAGTTTTGACAACTCAGCAATCATAATTATTGGTCGTTTATCTGTGATAGATACTGTTGTGATAGACATTCCCCTCTAATAGATTGTCACTGTGTAATAGATTTAAATTAAGCTGCGTCAACTCGCATTAATATGTGTAGAATGGTTTGACTGATTATTTTAGTCTGTTGCCAAAAGCCATGATTGATTGATTGTACTGAATGTGTGTAACTTGTTAATAGTCATCTGTTTATCAAATTTAAGAGCAATATAGAACAAGATAATAAAAAGATAATACTCGATAAGGCTGAGGAAGACATCATTTCTAAATAAAAATCTATGTTAATCTATGGACAGATGTACTACACTTATTTAATATATTAAACACAAGCATTTGAACATACATAAATGACAGGGAAAACAACATCATGATGTCTGTGGTACCAATAAATTGTTTAAAAATATATTTTGGTCTTTAACAGCATAATCTGTGATCTGACTGGAACCAAAACTGGAGCTCAAACAACATGAGATATGGTAACACAAACTCTGACTTACTCATGTTTACCGATGCTATTATTTGATCAGTGAGACTAATTAATATTCCAAATTGTCAGTTGAGGAAAACACAGAATGCTTAGATTTCATTTATAAGTCAAACTCTTCATGTTATGATCATTTTAATATATTTTTGATTTATATACTCCAAAAAATATTGACTGGACTGGAAATACAAGATTTTAACACGTCCCTCTTAATGACCGCATTAATCTGGAGACGGACAATACGAGCAAATAAATAAATTGGCCTTTTAACAGCAGACATTTTGACAGCATAGCAGGAAAATAACAAATAACATTACTGATGGCTCAATATAATGTCCCAATAAGCCACAAATTTGAGCCAGCATGCACAATATCATGGCCTTCGAACTGAAAGACCTGAATGGAATTCTTTATTAATGGTATTAATTACACCTTTACCTTTGTCTGCTATGGCATGTCAGTACGTCTGCTGCGAAATGGCTAATAAAAATATGATTTTCTGTAGTGGACATCCCCAGTAAAGGACTGGATGACTGAAATGTATCTACAGTCCTAGCAATCTACAAATATACTGCTAGATGCCACCAAAACATACACACTGATCCTTTAAACAGTGTACCTGATGATTACAGGAAAACAGTAGTAGTCGATGAAAATCTCTACTGGGTAACTCCAAAGGATGTCTTTCCCAAGTGCCACACCTCTCATGAACAGAGACCTTCCAGCAGGTCAGAGCTTGGACGTTTATGTGTAGTGTATATGTATATGTATTGTATGTGTGTGTGTGTGTGTGTGTGTGTGTGTGTGTGTGTGTGTGTGTGTGTGTGTGTGTGTGTGTATCCTTTTAAACTGCATCTGCCTAGGACCCAAATGAATAGCTTTGTTTGTGAGGACTTTGCAGCATATGCTATTAAGCTCTATAATCATGACGGAAACCAGCATATCCTTTTAAGTCTAATAATAATGATATCATGTAGGGCTGGGCCAACATCTTTATGTAATGATACATTTGATTCCAAACTAGTATGCACAGCTGACATACTGAGGAGATCATATGCATTGACAGAATCTCCATTGGGTGTCTCGCCAAGGGGACCATACACAAAGATATTTTCATGGACAAACACATAAAGAGTCAGAATGCATAGGGATCCATTCCAAATGTGTTATGTTGCACATATTAGCCAGTTACTAAAAACAGCTTGAGCAGAGCATGCTTCACTCTCCATCGCCATCTCATATCCAAAGACTATTTACATGACTCAAGAATTTGCTAACTGGATCAGTCTCTATGGCCTTTAATAATCACGTAAACAGACCCACACAGTCCTCAGCTAAGAGATAAAAATACCGGCCCAACACACTAAGGTTATCACCTCTTCTTAGATTTGACATAAAACCATCAGGCCTGTAACAAAAACGTTTAACAACATGGACCAAAATCTTAAAAATTAAGAGGGCTAAATCTAGGTATGTCCATTTCTGCATGTGTATGTTTCCACACTGACTGAAATTGTTGAAATTAAATTTAAATTGATGTATTCTGTCAGAATCTGCTCATTTTAACCTGATAAATGATAAATGTTGCTGATCCTCTGCTCTTCTCTGTCCTGTGTGTTGGTGTCAGCCATGGCTATAAAAGGACATAAACATCTCCTGTTGCCCTGCCCCACACTGTCCCCTCTCTCTCTCTTTCACTCTTGCTTCATGGTAAAAGCTAGCAGAGCTCTTGAGCACAGCTGCTAAGCCCCATGACATTTTGCACATTCACAATGATGTGGTCTGAAAGAGGACAGTAAAGCGGCTGAGCACAACATACCACACAAGATGAAACATCATCCAATATCCAAGGCTCACATCTTATATCTCTCTGTACAAATGAAGAATACCTCGCCCCTCAAACAACTGCAAAAGTAAATTACTAACAAAAGTGGATATGATTGTACAACAATCATATTTTATATGGCACAGTAATGTGTGTAAGCTATTTGATGTTTTAAATATGAGAAATTTATATATATGCTTACTTGTCCTCACCTGCCCAAGGTGCAACAAACAATACCTTTAGTTCCACTTTGTGAAGAATAACTGGTAACAGTGAGGATTATAACTGTAGTTTAACAGTGGAAGTTAATATAGCAGATTTGTACTAATGCATCTAAATACCAAGATATGAACACCAGTCCACATTAATAGACCTGCCCACTGGCTGACAGGCCAGCAAAGCCTGTGTGGTAGAAGGTATACTCATACGAACACCTGCCTGTCCTTGTTGGAAGGCTCTGAGCCTCTTCTTGAACCGAGAGGGCAGGACAAAGTCACAGCCGCGTGCCAGCAGAGCCAACTCCTTCCTCAGGTCAGGGTCCTGACGTAGAGACAGCTCCCTCATCCTCATCCTCGCTCCAGACAGGACGGGGAACACATATACACAAGACACAACACTCAATCCAGTGTTATCCTCTTGACCGTACAAATCACTCTGCACCAGTCAGCGCTGTAAGCAAAAGGCAGCAGTGGAAGTCCTCTGTGTCTGTGTCCCTGTGATTGTCCTCTGCCAGAGTGAGAGCCTCTTAATGCAAAGGAGCAGCTGCTACTGTGACTCTCTCTCCCATTCCAGATCTGGTCGCACAATCTCAGCTCTGCCCGCTGCTCTGTCCCAGTCTCTACATAACATGCGCATACACACAAACTGCACAGGGTCAGGGAGCCCTTGCCTCAAAGCTGCTACGGAGATAAGAAGTGACAGAGTGTATGTGTGTGGGAGTCACTTAGTGTATGTGTGGGATGGGAGGGGTGTATGTGCAATAGATCTGCCCTTTCCAGTTTGCATTCCTCAGTGCTCATGGAAGGTTATGTAAAGAGACAGACCTGTTGTTGCAGCTTGCAGCAGCCACAGAAGCCAGTTGAGGGATGCACCTAAATACCACAATGACACACTGCTCATATTCACTAGCTACTTCCGTTCTGAAAAGCTCCCACACTTTCAAATACTTTGCTTGTATTCTGAGCCATTCAAACTGGACACCCCCCCTTCTTTGGACAGTACACTAACTAATGAGAAAATTCAAAATAAAACCCCTTAAGAGATAGAATATAATGAAAGACACATGTTACTTCTGCTAAATCGGCCTACATCTGTTACTAAATCTGCCTTAAAGTATAAATCACCAGAACAACAGGCAGACAAAATAAACTTAACGAGGCGTTGGCAAAGAAAGACAACAACCAAGGTATGATGACTTTATAATAGATAACAAGAGTGTGAGTCAAATCACCAAATAATACACATACAACAGTAAGACAAAGTACATATAATCAACTCTTCTACGTCCAATCTTATCGTGGTCTTTGTTTTGCCTTCCTTTTGCAAGCTTGGGCTGCCAGCCATTCCACGTCTTATTATAGTTGATGGGCAACAGAGGGGGGGAGAAATGTCAAATTCAAAGAATGATGACCGCACCAGTCTGAGCCTATTAAAAGAACCAGCAAGCACTGTTTGGGCAATCCAAGAAACTAGATCTAGAGAAACAAGGGTGTATCTTTAGTCCTCAAACAAACATCCGCTTCCGGTTGCTGCTGTCCTGGAGTGATGGCAATTACATCAATTCTCCATGAATATGCTGATCTAACAGCTCTGGGGTTGCATTCAATGCCCTGACTGTACACAGGGAAAGCCCAACACCTATACGCCTATTAAAGAAATTGTGAATTAAACAGAAATGCTATAGAGATGTCCATATCAGTAGACTACATTAAAAAACCCTATATTTGATAATGTTTTTTTTACAAAAGAAAGTGAAAGCACACCCAGAGTATTTTTAGATGACAGGATCACAAAGTCCACTGTTTTCCACTGGTTTCTGCTCAAACCCAGTTCCTGTTATCCTCCACACAGGACACTGCACATGCTTGATAAGCTGTTTGTATGATGTTTTTTTTCCTCACTGGCTGCCTTTTGTTCATGCTTATCAATTCAAACCAAATATGGAAAGCACCAAGGCCAAAATAAAACCTTCTAGATCAGATGAAACTGTCAACTTGCATGGAACACTGAGCAAACAAAGTCTGAAGTGTGTTTCATAAACAGAGGTATCACTACGCAGCAGGGATAATGATGTGTTGGCTTACATACGGAGAAACAGCCCAGTTGGTGTTTTAAATTACAGGCAAACATGGTGTGAACAGCAAAAACATGGATGCAAAAACACACACGAGTTTTGAATGTACGCTTTCTACAGAATTGTAATGAAACTTGTCCCTTCTAAGGTTAGACAAGCTCCAGCAATTTCAACATCTTAATTATCTTAGGGCCATTGCAGGCAGGTTGTCCATACCACATCATCCTCAGTCAGACAGTACTATGTCCACACACTCTAATGGGCCACTGTGACAAACAGAAAAACATGAGGACAGTGACTGACCCCACAATATGTCTAATCTTCAAACTGCTAAATCTGATTTGTACAGAAACATGTGTCCAGTCATGTTTACTTCATTACATAACAGATGAGATTATGAAACACACTGTCTGGAGTTAGTGACTATTCAGGTCTAGCTGTTAGAACCCCCAGCAGTCAGATGACTATTCACAGGTTCTTAAGGTTTGTATTTTAGTTGAGCTCGAAATGGCATTCAACACGGTTGCTCCAACACTGATATGCAAGAGACAACATGCAGAATAGACAGGCAACCACAGCAGAGCGAAATAGATCACAGAAGGGTGGGGCAAAACTGATCGAAACTCCCCAGAGGGCTTCTCCAAACTGTCAATACAAGCATACATGGTGTCCCCTAAATACTATGTTCAGCTGGCTTCACTATCTGCATTACTAACAACCACTGATGTACCACAGTAAATCTACACAGAGGTGAATCAAACCATCTCATGACAGAGCCACAACTGGTTCCCAGCATGGGTACAGAACTGATGCTGCTGTGAAATCCAGAAAGCTCCAGCTCAATCCACCACAATCAGATGTCTGAGACAGGGATTTGGGATACATGTGAACGTGGGCCAAAAATAGGCACGATTGACTGACAACATGGTGGGCTCAGGGAAGGCCAACAAGTAGACCATGATGTGAGCAGATCAGCTAGCTTGCATAAGAGTAATAATGTTGGGCAGTAATCATGGAGGTTTGCTGAAAAATCAAGAAGGGTATTCTACATGGCACCAGAAATGGAGCAAAGGGTCAGAACAATAAATAAAATGAGCTGCAGAGAACATACGGAGTTACAGTACATAGGGCCCCGACACTTACAGTAACTACTATGTATTATTATTATTTGATTTTGCTTAGATGATATTTATTGCTGTAATTTGACTTTATAATGATTTTGCAATTCCCAAAAAATATTAACTGTCCTGGAAAACAGAAAAAGTGACATTACCATTATTTTTCCAGGGTTTTAACTAGTGTGAGAATTAAAATTAAGTGTCTGTATACAGAAAGAAATTGTCTTACAGAGTTTACACATAATAACTTCATAATATGTTGCAATTACAACAGGTCAATTAAGACAAATCACATTCTCAGAAAGTTAAAACACAAACTCAAGTTAGATAAATGTAGAGGGTGCCATAGTGCTCAAGAAATATTCTCAAAATACATGGGTTGACGGGCACCTCATATTCCTTTGTGCTATCTCACATAAGGACTACACCAGCTGAAACACAAAGTTAGCAATCGTACTTTACACTCACGAGTCTCCAAGACTTCAAAATAAAAGGACTTGTGGGAAACAGTTTAACACCTGGTTCTCTCCGACAGGTCAGGCAACTGATAACGTGACCCTAGACCCCTGCTTCAAATAGCTTCAATGTTGCTGAGCACAACCAAGCATGTTATAAAAATACATCATTAGAAATAACCTATGATCCTAAATGCAGATGCTGAGAACAGAGCAAAAAGTAAACCCCTTTAAGTAGCTTTAGTTCTACTCTTCTATTTACTAAACTATTGAGCGTTGGTGTGTGTATATGACCTATTGCACTCATAACACAGAAGACATTTTAGGTATTGAGCTACACAGCAGAGCTGGAAGCTAAGCCTTCATGAGGAGCTGATATTTACTGTACATAGGACCAATAAAAGATCTACAACCTCATATTCTGACAATGAGCAGCATCTAATAGAAGTTGTTTCAGAGGAAATTACAGAGGATAAATGTGCTGCCACACCTCATCTCACTGGCAGAGTTCTGGGTATCTAATGCCAACAGAGGGGAACCAAGGCTATCTATATCAGTGTCTGATGTCAAAGTCAGACCAGCTGTTCCAGGCTGCATCAGCGTGACATAAATTGAATTTTTGAATAATCCTCTGAAGAATGCATCTGTATGCAGGAATTCATTTTGTTGTCTTAAAATAGAAGTATTACTTTATTCAACCTCACAATCCCTTTAATATTGAGTGACACAGTGTGACCACATGTCATGACAAATCACAGCAGAATACACAAACTGTCCAGCAGTTGCTTTATATTAATCTGGGGTGGGACGGTGGTGTTGGGGGCCAAAGGTCAGGAGGAAGCAGACATGGATGTGAAAATCAAAAATTTCAAATTCATCTGTCTTACTGTACAAACAAGACCACAACAGAGAAAGCTCTTAGTAAAGATTCAAAGCCAGCTTTTCACCCTTGTGAAAAACACTCTCAATCTGAAACCCACAAAGAAGACCAGCATGCTGCCACAATGCTTTTCTTTTTTGCATCCTCTTCCTCCTGTGTTCAGGCTGTTTAAGCAATGAATCATTTCTCAACAGGTTACAAGAAGGCTGTGGTAAGACTATGTTTGTATTTTCACCTAGACCTGGGATATTCTGGAGTACAGAAAATCAACAAATGTAATGCATGTTTAATTTTGCTGTGTTTTAATTAGCTATATTTGTCTGAAAAGAATGGAAAAGATAGTATGATTGACTTTTTAATTAGCCTTTACTTCCATTTTTCTAGTTAGTTACAATTGGGTTTTATGGGAAAAAGCAAATTTTTGTGTACATGAAATACTGAATATTGTATTATGCAAGTTAAGTGAACTGGTGCTCTCTAACTTTAGACTCTTGGTAGTAGTAGTGTTTGAAATTAAATTCTGGATCAGGCTTATACTGATTTGTGGTAACTTCTATGGCCATGCAGGCTTGGCATAGCTTTATGCATAACACAATAATAGTCAAACATTGGGTCTAGCTCTCCAGCACTGGTGTTTCAGTCAGAGAGAGCATGTCAACCTCATGTAGAAGGGGGAGTATCTAGGAGCACGTGCTCCCAGCTGTCTGGCTGTCTCACTGTCGTTGCACTCACAATGTTCACAACTTATCATCTCAACAGAGTGGGAGTCCTTCCACAGACATACAAAAGCATTTGAACCTTTTAACTGCTTTGTGGGGCTGGATTTTCTTCTATAACCCAAGCAGCCTAAAGCAAAAATTATATTTACCTCTCGAGACACCAGTAACAGCATAATAAGACATGCAACACAAAGGCTGAAAGCAGTAGCCAGGGATAGGCTAGGTTCAGACACTCCCACCTCTCATACCACACTAATTCGTGGGTGAGGCCTGAACATTTGGAAAGTATTTGACTAATAATCACTACATATGCCTACAGACATGGAGGCTCCACTATGATAGTCCAGAGTGGACAGTCCTCTAATGCCTTTGATCCCATAGGCTACCCAGCAGCCTCTTGTGGCCAGCCTGGGAAAATAAAGATCCCAGAGGATACACTAGGGCCAAGCTTGAGAAACTGAAATCTATAACAGTCAGAGTGGATTAAATACATTTATTATAGCCCCTGTGTCCTGGATTTTAAAAAAACTTTGGGGAATTCTAGTGGCTTTGGTGTTAACCCCCCCCCACAGCAATTATTGTTGCTACCAATATAAAAGTCACATGGAAATCCTACAATCTGGAGGTTATAGCAAAAAGATCAGCCATAAACTCAGTAACCATTTACAACTGGATACTCATGCTATGTGTGATGAGGTGTAACGTTAAGCTATACTGCTGGGGCAGGATACACTTTTTAGATTTCGATTTCGAAGAATTTGCCTCAACACAAAGACTTACTTTTGGAGGTTTTTTTTTTTTTACTGCAAACATTTTGACCGGCCATAATGGGAAAAGTAAAAGGTGTTACTAATAAACATTAATGTTGGCTGTATTCTACTCAAGCACCCCACTCATCCATTACAGTGTGACCCTAAAAATGAGGAAGCCAAATAGAATTCAGCCATCATTACATTTATTACTTAAACTTGTGCTTTTTCTACAGTAACATGTTAAATATCTTTATTAAAAAATGGCCTATTAATACAAGATTCCAAGTGCAGCCTTGTGTGTGTGTGTGTATATATATATATATATATATCTTAAAATAAATAATGTAGGTTTAAATGTTATAGTTAACAGTGAAATGTTTTCAGCAAACTCGGTCTCATTTGTGTAGCAAAATCCTCATGTCCTTGGTGTAAGTGAAGTTAACAAGCAAATTAACATTGTTGTTGTTAAAGCAGGTACCAACGTTCCATTCAATTAATCATCTCATTGTTCAGGTGTACAGTCAACTAAATCACAATATAACCATTTAATTGTATGTGACGTATATGGATCTGGGTTTCTATTATGTTCAACATACATTGCAAAATAATGATCACCCAACTCTATCTGCACCTTAGATTTTAATGCAAATAGCTGCTGTCAGACAGAAACAGAGCTTACTGAGACTATGATTTTGCAACACACCCTTAAGTCACAGGTACCTCAGGTGGCTCCAGAAAGAAGCTGAAACTGCAGTACACACCTTGTTTTCATGTTATTCATGGCAAGCTTAGATGAGAGCCGTGTGGCGTGATGCCTAAACAAACTCTAAATCTTGTTCTAACCTGTAAAAGGTTACAGGAGGTTTCAGGAATGATGGCTTTAAGTGAGGAGCTACATGTTAACAGAAATGTGATGACAAGCATTTAAATACTGTTCAACCTATCAATTTGCTGTTTCAATAGATAATTCACCTTTTTTGTGCTGACAGACCTCCGTAGTATTCTGCCATTGGGTCCGGTCACTCTGGTATTACTGCTACTGCCAGAGGGCAGGGTACTGGTGGATGGGGGGCTGGAGGGGGTACTGAGGGAAGTGGGCTTCTTCTCTGCCAGGTTTCTCTGGGATGCCACATTGTTGTTCTCATTGAAGGTCAACGACCTCTTGTCCTGGGCATCCCCACTGCTCAGATCAATGTGTTGTCCACTTTTGATTAGGTCAAGATAATCTTTGAGTAGTGACTGGGTTGCAGGGTCACTCAACCAGTTGTGAAAGAGCTCGTCCACCTTCATCTTAAGCACCGGCTGGAGGACTTGTGGTGAAGGCATTTTGCAGAATATTACTTATTGGTTCCTCTGACAAACGTGCCTGTGTAGAAATGAGAGTAATGATAAAGTCACAATACACAACTGTCTCTGTATTTCCCTCAGTGTGTAAGACGACGCACTGCACAGCCGAGGAGTAGACGGAGTACATACAGTGATTGGTAGATAGCTGTAGCTAGTGTCCTTGCTTTGAGCAGCTACTCACCAAACATTCACTCACTCGTTATTGATTTTTTTTAGCGCGAACCGTCAATGGCTTCACCCGCAGGCCAAAGTAAACGTAGTAAACCCATATTGACCCCGGTAACGTTAGCTATTTTTAACTCTATTGTAGGAAATACAGCTGCTTAAAGCCAGTCTTTACTCAGCTGGCGAGAGTTAAAGCTGCCATACTAACTAGAAAGACCGAGCTAGGGTCGACAGAGTTGGTAAAGTTGGTGTTAACGTTAGGTTACAAATTAGGAGTAGCATGCAACAACAGTTTGTTAGCTACGATAGCATTAGCAAGCTAACGTTAGCTGGCTAACTAAGGTACCAACCTTTGGGGTGAATGGACGGTAATGCCAAATGCGTCTATATGACTCTACATCACTTCCTTCGTAAGCGAAGCTGTTGCACGCATGTGTATATACCTGTGAATTACAAAAGTAATGCTGTTTCTCCGGCGTTCATCACGAGAAGCAGTCAGCGGCAACTTCTCAGGCTCGCGTTCCCCTGGTAACCACAACTACAGCTAACGCGAGATCTTCCGCAGGACGAGGGTTCATCTCTCACCACCTTTCGTCCATTTCCCCTCCAGAAAAAAGGACCTTCACCGCCCACCTGTATGGAGCTTCACTCATTCGCTGTGGTGTACAAACATATCTCTCCTCTGCATTGGTACTGCCATCACAGCTTCCCTCATAAGAGGCCCTACTCAGAGGTTAAAGAAGTATTCAGAGACCTTTACTAGAAGTAAAAGTGGCAAAGTAGGTCGGTTGAAGACTTTAGATTTTACGGCCTCCATCCGAAATCCTCTTTAAATAAAAGTAGGTAAGTATTATCAGTAAAATTATTTAAAAAATAAAGTATCAATATTCCCGCACAATTGCCCTTGACAGTGTTAAATTACTCTAAAACATTTCATTAGTATTACTAATGTTTAACACGCGTTTTAATGATGTCGCTGGTCGAGTTAAAGTTAATTTAATTTAATCTGTAGCTTTAGTTAGATCTAAATATAAAAAAGTAGAAACTATACCTTTTAAATAAATGCAGTGGAGTTAAACGTGCAATATTTCTCTTGAAATTTAATGAGCTGAAGAGTAAAAAAGGTACAGCACTTCAATTTACCAAGTCCATCTTCCCAAAATACTGCCCATAAGGCACTCATAAAAAAGTGAATACACATCATGCATCGTTCATCACATTTATAATTACCATCTGCATTCTTTTTGTTAATTTATGATTGTTTGTTTTCTGTAGTGCACGATCCAAATTTGAATTGGTCATCATTACAGTACTTATTTCCAGCTCTGTGTGTTCAATTTAGCCTCTTATGAACTTGATCCTGGCTCTCTTTGCATGAATAACAATGATACATCTGCGCCTGATTCCACTCTCTTTTCTCTCCTCGTACCCCTACCCCTCGGAGCAGCTGGGATGAGCACCTGGTGTGTATGGAGCAGGACATCCTTATTGATTACTGGAGGGAGGAGTGGTCCCAGACATCATGGCTCCCTCACTGCATCCCCAATGCAGAAAGCAAGCAACACAAGAAAAAGGTCAGTTTAAATAATGGGCACCATATTTGACACCCGGGGCAAAAAACGGAGTGGATTATTTTCATCAGGATGGGACTTTCCAGCTCTGCATCTCGTACCAAAACCCAAAAAGCAGGTTTCAACCACCACAACATTAATTGAATGCATATTTAAGAGCTGAAGAAACACACTTGAGTGGCTAACATTTGACATGAAAATGACGGAAACAGATTTAATGACCACAGGGTCAGGCATTAATGGTACAATAACTATTTCACTTGGAATTATTTTTGCTTACATGTGTATTGCAACCAAAAACAACAACTTCATTACTTTATGTCTCTGTGAACACAGTGTTGCTGGGTAATTATTGTTATTATGCAGGCAACATAACAAATTTAGTCTAGACTAATCCCTTTTGGCAATCACAAGTTAAAGCCCTTAACAAAACATTTCACATCATTTTTTTTTTCCAATCAAGTTTTTCTCCTTTCATTTATTATGTAATTATCTGTTGCTAATGTTTCCATTTTGTTTCACATTAGCGTTATTACTGAGATGTGACTTGAAGGATGCCGTTTTGAAGATCATTTTAAATAAAAATAAATAAAAATGTTAGTTCTTGATGGAGACCATCACACAGTTGTGTTTTGACTTACCAAAAATTACCTGACATGGACTTGATATTGATATTTTATGTGTTTCTGTATTTTCAGCCTAAAGGACCTTAGGGACACCTATCACCCTAAACCTCTGTCTCGTTAATGACCACATTCAAAGTGCCTGTAGCACTTTTTGTTTAGAAAAAATTAATGTTGGTTGCGCGGTTGTGAAAATTATTGACTGAATTCTCCTGATTGCTTCCCTTGATAACCAGTAAATCAAGTCTGAAACATTCAAAGCTGTCTGAGGCGCAGCACGTAATGAGAAACCTCTTTGTTCTTTAGAACAGCGTGTGTTTTAGAAACATGTGTTTTAGAGCCTAATCAATATCAGAAATGAGGAGAGAGAAAGTGAAGGTCTTGAAACTTTAAACTTTGCAACTTTTCAAAGTGTAATTACAGTGTACAAATAGGATTTTACCCAAAGCAGTGTGCATGTTGTTTTTTCACGCCTTGAAGGACATTTCAAAGGTTTGGCCGAGGCTGAAACCACAGGGGGACAGCTGGTTAGCGTAGGAAAGTGTTAGTGAGGAGTTCATGTATGCAGCTCTCCCTAACTGCTGTCAGCTATGCTATATGGGTGCTCTGTGAAGTAGGCGATAAGCAATCTGCTCTAATAAGGAGAGTAAATAAAGTTGAAAGTGTTGTGTTGTAGCTATGTGCTGTAGAGAGTTATTTGGGCTGTACCATAGTCTATGCACATAGTAGAATAGGCAATAGACCATGGTTATTTTAAGGTTTAAATTTGTTTCACAGTGGAGATACAAGTTTGTTCTTTTTCTTTCTTAAATAAAATTATTTTGAGAATCAGATTTTAGATTTTTAATTGACTGAAGTGCAACATAAATTACTTAAAAAACATTCTTCAAGAAGGCATCTGATTTACCTGTAACATCTGGCTTATCCAACTGCAATAACAAAATTAACTAAAACATAAATGGATGGTTTGAATATTATTTTGGCCAGTACTTTTTTCCAATTACTCATTATGCTTACATTATAACATTCAAACACAATATGATACTCGGCTCCCACATGGTTGTCATTGAAAAGGTTGCAGGTCCTCTGATTCCACTCCAGTGTTGCCAACATTAAAGTTACAAACAGCCTGTCTGTAATTTTGGTTTTAATACACTAGGTACAAAACTCGGTGACATACGTTTGAGCTCGCTATGCTTTTCTCTATGAACTGGTCTTGTTTTTGTGTGAGTCAGAGACAAGACAAACCACAGTCATACAAACAAATACATTCCATATTAATATTCCAACATTATTGTAATAATTTAAACCGATTTTGTTAAGTTTTGTAAAAACTGGAAGGTTTGACAAAAAATCGAAATGCATGCAGGATACTACTACTAATTCTCTGCAGCAAAAAGAGACATCATTGTGAAGTTTAATTTTAGTTTTTGTCTTTGTGCTGAATATACAGTTGCAACAGACAGTTGGTGGAATCTGGAAAAAGGCTCACAAATTATTTAAGTGTGGGAAAAAAAGACAGACTTTGAGTTTTGATTGCAGTTTAAAACTATACATTTTTACGTTTTAGGAAAATATAAAGTTCTGTTGATGTTTTCCTCTTAAATTAACACATACTGTCACATTCTGTTAAGTTAAAACCTAAATGGGAAAAGCATTTTGTTACATTAGGAAAGGGATTATCCCTCTTTAATTGAAACACAAAGATACAAACAGCGATAGGAACTATATAGAAACATCGGTATGTCAGGTAGTCTGAGTTGTATTTTTACCTCATCATTTTGACTAACTCCCCACAACAGTGTTCTCATAAACAACAACACAAGTCAGATTTCCTTCCTAATACAACATCAGTGTTCACAAATCTACAACAGAACATTACATTAAATGTTGTTTTTAATATTGTATGTATTGGACCTTATAATGTCTGTGCTGATCATTTGCATCAGAGCTAACAGTGAATGTATGTAAAAGTAATTTTGATTGACAGACATTGCCTTACCTCAACATCTTACAGTCATGAGTGAGAATTTAGGGCTACATGCATGTTTTCCTCTTCCCCAGTCATCTCCTTCTCTTATCCATACTGTGCTGAACAAAATGCCTGTGACTCCCTTACATGAAAAAAAAAAAACCACTGTGAGAGATATCAAATGACACAGATATCCAGTATTAGAGACGGAAACAAGTTAAAGCCAGTTGTTTATCTACTGCAAAGATCTAATTTTCCCCATTGTTAACTAGAGGAGATTGGGTTTTGGAATAGGCTACATGTTGCACTTTAAAAGGCCTCTTACTCTTAAATGTCCTGACACCTGTCCCGGGACTTTACCGGGAATTATAGTTTTTTGTTATCAATAAAAAAAGTGTAATTTGCGACTAAACCTGAAGATTTGATTATTGAATATAATATATAATAATATAATATGATATTATATTATAAGTGGGCTGATATAGCAAAATATTACTTGTTGTTGTAATTGTTTATACACACAACATTTAAATTAGTTTCTACAAGATAGAAGTAAAAAATTAATTAATTATGATCTAACTTGATATTTCAGGTACTACTTTTCCTATTTATAAATAACATTAGCTACAAAATAATCTCAGAAAGACATCCCAAAAGCAAATATTTAATATTTTCTACCTTCAAATTGCACCCACTTTCCACTGTGTAAAAAAAAAAGGAAAAAAAATGTAAATATGTTTACACATACATTATTTTTAAAGATATTCCTCCTTTGTTGCACAACGGAAAAAAAGGATTACATGCTGTTAGTTGTTACAGGCTAATTCAAACTTTCATACATATATAATATGTATACATATTATACACCTGAGGTACCTGAGCCACCATGATGGTCCTGAATTTTCTTTGTCAGTACCCACTGTGCACACTGCACACTACTACTACAAAGTTAAGAGGCTAGATGGATTTGTAGATATTTCTCTGTCTGATTTCCAATAATAGCCAGACATTGTTGGAATAACTGCTAGCATAAAGTAACAATTTTACAAGAATGTAGCTGGTCTAGTGATATTTTTGACCAGAAATTTCTTTGATCTTGGTCTTAAACATTCTCTGTTTGATATGGCTTTCAAATGAACTGTGGTATGAACCTCACTTTCCGCCTCCCAAAATGGCATCGGGTAGTGATGAGCCTTCTCATAGCTCTTTCATGGCTACACTGTAAACACGCTACACTGTTTTTATTCCTTAAGAAAATCACAGACAGAGAATCAAACTGTCTTCAGTCAACATTTAGATTCCTAATACGCTGCGCGAAATGGAGCCGCAGAGGAGGAGACTTCTTTCATTAGACACATCACTAACGCTCTGAA